TCGGTGAAAGTCCGAATATTTGGTTATATTATTATACATTTGAACAATCACCGGTGTATGTCAACAAGCACAGATAAGCTTTGGTGGAGGTCGAAACAACACCCGAGAAGCCGATGTCGACAGAGGCGACAGTCTGTCGCCAAATCCTTTGTGGATAGCTGGAGATAGAACAAGGTCTTTTCATCCCGTGAGGTGGGGATTGGTTTGTCAGGTCGAGTAGCAGAGGATGGAGGGATCGTCGGTAAGGCATCAGCGATATCCGAATAAAAGACACCATTAACAGATCAGTTCATAATCATGTAATAACGTAATCAGTTTGTAATTTGTAAAGAAAAGTTATTTTCCATAGATGAGATTTCTTCTCAAGAAATATCGCTGAGAGAAGCAGCTGCAGCTAATTTGAAAAGTGGAGGGCAAGGCTATACACGCTGTCATTGCAAAAAGAAGTGTTCCATGAATAAATGCAGTTGTAAAAGCAAGGGACTCTTGTGCAATTCAAAGTGTCACAACAGTTTAAGTTGTTGCAATAAATAAGATTGTATAACGTTAATCACATAATTTATGTGTAAATTTATTATTGTATTATTTTCTTTAATGATTAAGAATGTACTGTTCATTTTAGGTTCAAAAGTTTATTTACAGTGCTGTTACTTAAGTTTTCTCCTATTTTCACATATTAAAATGTTTCATTTTTGTCTTAACGTAATAAAAATATTTTCATTCAACATTCACAATCAGTGCATGCTGAATGTCAACATTTGCCGGTGTAAGTGAGAAATAATGATATTTAGCAAATATTTCATACATACACAAAACGACTGTGTGAAAGCTGACATTCACCAGAGAATGTTGACATTTGCCAGATGTTGGTCATTCACAGTAACATATACATTATACAGCACATCATATCCTGCATTATATTTCACAAAAAAGATCAATAATATTTACCTGTCTTAAACCAGCCATCAGATGTAAACGTTTTCTTTGTCTCATCTGGTTTATTCCAGTATTCTTTAAATACACTTCCACTCATAACTTGAAGTTCTCCAATTTCATCACCTGGATTTTTAATAATATTAGTCTTCTTATAATCTCCTTCTACAATAACATCATAGCCAACTTTTGAAGAAGGATTATCCTTAACAATACGAACTTTAACTCCCTTTAAAGGTGTTCCTACAAAGTCTGTAAAATTATTATTAGTTAAAGATTTAATACATTATTAATTAAAGATTCTCACTTTATAATATAAATAGTTTCTTATTTATTTCACAGATCATTTATAACAACTGATTATTAATATACAAAGCATGTGTTTAAAGTAAGACTTGTTTTGAAATAAAAAAAAAAAAACATGAAAGATAAAAATAATTTATTATAGCCAAAAGAGAAATACACATTTCCATAATTTTCCATATAGTCACCATTGACTTGCAGACATTTTTGAAATCATGTTACCAGTTTCCTTATTTAAATTTCAAAGAAGTCTGCCACCAATGTTTTGAACCATTCAATAATGCCATTTTCAGTTCATCATCATTTTCAACTGCTTCAATAAAAGCAATTTTTTTCAATGCAAAAAGATGATAGTCTCATGACATAAGATTGGACCTATAAGGAGGGTGTTCAAAAATTTCCCAGCAAAATTTTTACAACATTTGAACAGTTTAAGATGCAGTGTGAAGTTTTACAATGTTTCAATGAAATAGCTTTCAGTTCATGTTCAGTTCAGTAATGTCATTCAGTTCAGTAGTGTTTTTTTTTTTTTTCAGTTCATCATTTAAAAATGATAAACTGAAAAAAAAAATTACCGAATGGTTCAAGACACATTGATAGAGGACTTCTTTGACAATGAAATAAAAATACTAGTGACACAATATCAAAAATGTGTGCAAATCAATGGTGACTATGTAAAAAAGTAACAAAAATGTGTACATTTTTTTTGGGCTATAATAAATTATTTTTCATGTTTTTTCTTATTTTTAAAAGAAATCTTAGTTTGAAAACATGCCTAATAAGAAACTATGAATTAAAAATCATATAAATATACAGGGTGGTCCTAAAGTGCGTGTAGTTTTATACTTCAACAAACAATTATTTATTGTGACCAAGTCATAATGCCGGACTGCAAGTTTTTATCACAATGACTAAGTGTGATAGTATCTTGGCCCTGTAAATAATACTTTTCCTATTAACAATGAAATCATGCCTGTCATGTATCTACCTCCATTTGGGAGAAAATTTTTGAATTGAAATAAGTGACTTCCGGCCCAAAGCAGAAGTTCATATACAGTAGACCCCCTATAACATGGGTTTGTATAATACTGATTTCTTTAACACGGGGAAAAAATTGTGATCGTGTTCATATAACACGGTAAAATGTCATTGCCGACTCGTGTCGCGACAGGATTGGTAGAATCCGGACCAATAGCGAATATTGTACAAACAGTTGAGTTTAAACGAGCAGTGGACCTACTAAAAACCATTTATTATTTAACAGCCATAAAAATTGCACTAGAAAAGTGCACTAGATAAGAAAATTCAAATGTTTAAATGTTCCAAAAGAAAGTTCATTATATTAGGTCAGTCCATAAGTTCGTGCATATTTTATGACCTTGTTTTGCTGTTAAAAATGCCAGTCTAATGTGATACTTTTTACACTGAAGTGTTAAATTGGATCTCATTCATATAATACTGTTCAGAATTGGGAACATTTCAGTTGTTTATTTTCGTTAAAATGGAAGTAACAGATGAATATAAGAGACATGTTTTATACTTTTTATTTTTAAGTGGTGAGAATGCTACAAATGCAGCCAAAAAATTAAATACTGTTCATAATCAAACTGTAATTAGTGTAAGGACTGCGCAGAAGTGGTTTGAAAGATTTAGAAATAATGATTTTAGTGTGGAGGATAAGGCTCGTACTGGAAGACCCGTTGACTTTGATGATGATGCTCTCTCTGCACTAGTTGAAGCAGAACCATCTTTAACAGTTGATGAAATTGCGGAACGTTTAAATTCATCCCATGGAACTGTTCATAGACATCTACAACAAATCGGAAAAGTTTCAAAGCTAGGAAAATGGATACCACATGAACTGTCAATAGCTAACTGACAACAACGTCAACTGCTCAACTCAAAAGCTTCAACTGGGAAATTTTACCTCATCCACCATATTTGCCAGATATTGCTCCCAGTGATTATCATCTTTTTCGGAGTTTGCAGAATTTTTTAAAAGGAAAAACTTTTGAGGATGAGAACAATGTAAAAAAGGCTATTTCTGAATATTTTGATTCAAAACCGAAATCATTTTACAAAGACGGGATTAAAAAGCTACCATCAAGATGGCAAGAAATTGTACAAAATAATGGTGAATACATTATAGATTGAAATAAAATTTAATTAAAATTTTTTGTTGCTTTTTTTGTAGATAAAAATGCGCACGAACTTATGGACTGACCTGATAGAAAGTAAAATCAGAATTATTTGATTTTTCTGTTCTTGAGGAAAACCATTCAAAACGGCTGAAAACATTTGAAATATGAATAAAAAGGTTGCATTTTAAAGGTTTTTGTTTTGAGGTATGAGTTATATTTAAGTGCAGTTACAGAACATTTAAATGTTAAAATGTTTAGAAAACTGCACATAGTGACATTCTGTTCCAAATTCAAGATGTTCACTGGCATGACGATGACGATATTGTATCATTGAAAGTACTTGCATTTTAAAAAAGGTTTTAATGCCATCTGACAGTGTGTGTATGTATGTGTATATAGTATATAATATTTGATGTAGAATTTAACTTAATATTTGCCAGTTAGATTTGGAAAGATGGAAATTTGTTCCAAGTTGCAGAAGTTGCAGGAGTTATTGTCAACAGACCTTTGACTAATGGTTTTATCATTGCATGCAGAGACATTTTAACATTTTAAATTTTGGCCCCTTTTCTGATTACCCAGTAATTAAATTTTAATTGAAGCAATTGTATACTATTAGTTTTAGTTTACTAATTTTTTATTTGCACTTTCAAATTATACATTTATAATTTATATTATAAACAGCCTGAACAGATTATACACATCAAGAACTGGTATATATTACTTAAAAATATGCCTGTTCACCAAACCAGTACATAAATACAAAACTATTTAATATAATGAATGTTTTCATCCATATCAGACATCCTCTGACAAGTTACATAAGCCTAATTAAGAGCAGAACATCAAATTGAATACAGAATTCAAATCAAACTTTAAAACGGCCAAGTTTCATGCATAAGCCTTGCATAATGAATGTATCTTTCAATTATTTTTTCTATATTTATACATTCATCATGCAGGACACATGCCTGAACTTCAGCAGTTTTAGTTTGATTTGAATTCTGTATTCAACTTGGTGTTCTGTTCTTTATTAGGCTTATATAACCTGAGGATGTTTGATTGATACAGACCTAAACAGATCAGAATCAAATCAGAAAATCAATCAAATCAGACTCATCAATGCAGTTTTGAGTTTTTCTATGGGCAAATTTTTTTTAATGCTTTATCAAAATAAACCTTCTTCAAAAGACAATACTGCAAGCTAAATTTTGGAGTTGGAGCCAGAGTCCAGAGTCATATATTCTTTAAAAAATTCTTGGCTACTATATCAGATCTGTTTTCTTTCTTTCTTTTTTTTTTTAAGATTAGGAGTCAATTTCTTCAGTTATTCATTAGAAAGTATTATGCTTTTTATTTTGCAAATATTTAATAACATATTATGAAGCTAACCAAAACTTTTCTAACAACTTATATTTCTGACATATTATCAAGGATATAGAAGGCAAAAAAACAATAATCAGACATTGGTAAAATTGCATGTGTCTATTCAATTTGATACAAATTTATGCAAATTCTAGTGTAATATTACAATGTAATGTATTCTGTCTTCTGGCATTAAAACCAATGTTTTTTATTGCAAGTACTTTCGATAGTTTACAACTATCCTCTTCAGGTTGATTCGATTAGTCTCAAATCAAACTAGATTTGAGACTAATCGAATCAACCTGAAGAGGATAATTGTAAACTATAGAAAGTACTTGCAATTTTTGAATAAAATGTTGGTTTTAATGTAGGAAGACAGAATATATTACATCATAACATTACACTAGATCAGGGGTGTCAAACTGGTGGTACACAGGCTGCATATGGTCCCAAATGTGAATTTTTGTGGTCATGTGCAATAAAATGAAATACAGAACAATAAGTTACAAAGAAAACAGCAAGTAACCATCGCATTGTTGCTATGACATCATACGTCATATGCTACAATTTAGTGGTCAACCATGGGAAACTAGGCCATGGTTACACACCTTGCCAGTAAATTCAGGTCAATTTCAATCTAGAGATTCCAAGCTTCAAAACTTGCTAAAAAGTCTTATTTTCTCTTGCAGAGCCATATATGGTTGGTAGACACAGCCACCACAGTTGAGGTGCATAACTGTATTTTCTTTGAATTTTAATAAAAGGCATTTGGGCTAGTTTCTTTGTCTCGACTGGTGTGTTAAAGATTTGTGAGTCGTTTTGTTTTATAACTTATTAAAAAAAATGTAAGTATACAGTGGGTGATCGGTTAATGAACATAATCCATTCGAAGACTTTGTTCGTTATCTGAATTGTTCATTAACTGATTATCAATTTACCATAGGTTTTTATGGGAATTTGGTTAATTTCTTCCAGAGACTCCAAAAAATAAAAAAAACATATACTTTCTTACTATGTTTATTTATATGTAATAATAAAAATACATATATACACAGTCTTGCATTTTTATCAGTTATGTTTTTTTTCTGTTTGTGGGGCATTAAAGAATCTGTCCAATGTTGATTGCTTTTCTCTCTTCTTCAGGATTTTTCAGAAGTAATTAATAGCATTGTCATCGTAGAGATCCCCAAGCCTATTAACCTCAACTTGGTTTGGATGCCATTCTAAGACTGTTGTTCTGACATCCTCCCACTTCTTCAAAAGATCTTTAATAGCAGATGTTGGCATTGATCCTTTTTCATCTTCTTTTTCAGAAGAAAACACATCTCTCTGAGTTTCTTGGTGTTCTTCATTTAAGCATTCTTGGAGTTCTGTCGTCAGATCAGTTTCAGATTCCATTATGAGTTCTTCAATGTCATCTTTATTCACTTCCAATTCCAGATCTCTAGCAGTTGTCACAATTTCATCCATAATTTCAGGGACATCATCTCTCTCTCCCTGAATGCAGGAGGGACACAGCTTTTGTCAAGCAGACTGTCGTTGAGTGATTTCTGACAATGCTTTTTGAATGAGCTGTATAGCTTAAAGAATATCAAATTTTTCTTTCCAAAATGTTTTTAATGTCATTGTTGAGGAGAACTGGCATGTTTCAAAACACCGACGAAACAGTGCTCGAATGTACAATTTCTTGAAACCAGCAATAACCTCTTGATCCATTGGTTGAATCAACAAAGTGGTATTCAGAGGTAGAAACTGAACTCTCAGCCAGGGAAAGTCTTCCAGCAAATTATCTTCAAGGTCTTTTGGGTGTCCTGGTGCATTGTCCAATAGCAACAGTGCTTTTAATGGCAATTCATTGGTCTGAAGGTAATCCTTGATGCTAGGAGCACAAACTTCAAACAGGCATTCTTAGAAAAGAGCCTGCATGACCCATGCCCTTTTATTTGATCTCCACATCACTGACAGTTTTTCTTTAATTATGGAATTTTTTTTGAATGCTCTAGGGTTCTCAGAGTGATAGACAAGAAGCGGGATAAGCTTCATATCACCGCTAGCATTAGCTTCCAATAATAACGTCAGTCGGTCTTTCATGGGTTTATGCCCAGGGATATTTTTCTCTTCTTTCGTAATGTAGGCACGGTTTGGCATGCGCTTCCAAAATAAATCACTTTCATCATAATTGAAAATTTGTTGTGGACAATATCCTTTTTTAATAAATTCTTCAAATTTGATACAGAACTCAGCCTCTTCTTTATCTGCACTAGCAAACTCACCATGAATTACTACATGTTTAATGCCAGTTCTCCTTCTAAACTTTGAAAACCATCCAGTAGTAGCTTTGAATTCTATCTCTTCATCTGATGAATTTGGAGTTTGTTTCTTCAGTTCTTCAAAAATTTCTCTAGCTTTCTCTTGAATGATAGTCATACTAGTTACATCTTTTTTCATTTCTCTTTCTTTTATCCAAATTAAAAGCAATCTCTCCATTTTTTCATGGCTGAAACATCATTGTTTCTCAGATGTGATTTTCGTTACTCCTTTAGCTCTTTGAGTCTTCTTGATTATATCTTTCTTAGCTAAGATTGTGCCTACTGTAGACCTGTTCATGACATACTGCCTAGCAACATCAGACATCTGCCCACTCTACTTTGGCTATTATCTCTTGCTTAGTTTTTATGGTGAGCATGGTTATTGACACTCCACTCTTTTTATGTTCCATAATATTATGAAATAAAAAGTTCAGAAATGCACTCACAAAAATTCAGAGAACAGAAATCAACTAGCGCATGAAAGAATTATGTAAATGTGAGGCCTGAATGTAATTCAAAATTTTGGTGTTAAAATGTTAACAAATACCCAATAGGACAGTTAAACTCTCACCTTTAGAAAATAAAAACTGACGCAAAACTTATGGCATGTCCGACAGTCTCGCGAAGACTATAAAAAAATTATTTGTCAGAAAAGTAAACAAAAAGCTGGAATTACAATGGAGAGTTTCAAAGTTCAGGGAAACACTATCCGATTGATATTGGGTTGAGCATCAATGTTGACGTCTCCACGCTCAGAAAAGTTTGTTGCTTCTTTTTATGTTTGTTCAGTGAAGTGTTCATTATCCGATCATAAAAATCTTTCACGAAAGTGTTTGTTATCCGATTTGTTCATTAACCAATCACCCACTGTATATAGTTTTTAAATTTAAATTTCAACCCTAATTTTTATACAGAAAATGCCACTTTTAATGGTAAATAAAATTCAATGCTAAAAAAATGAAAGATTGATGACAAGGGAAGTAAATTTCAAGTAAGGTGGGAACTGAACTATTTTTGTGTGGAAGTGAACAATAAAATTACCTTCTTAATTTTCAAAGAAACAATTAGTGTCTGTAAAGAATACAATATTAAGCAACATTATAGCACTAATCACGAAGAACAATTTTCTTGATTTGAAGGAAAAATAAGAGAAGAAAAATTAAAAACAATGAACAATTCACTTAGTAGCCAGCAACAAGTGCTTACAAAATTCATGAAAAGTAATGAATCAGTAACAAGAGCTAGTTATGAAATAAGTTATTTATTAGCAAAACATTCAAAATTATTCATGATGGTTTTTTAATCAAGGAATGTATGATAAAAGTTGCCAAATTTATCCGTCCAGAAAAGGTATAGGCATTTCAAGCTATCTCATTATTAAGAAATATGATGGCAGACAGAATTACAGAAATGACAGATGACATCAGTTCACAACTACAGGTAGTATCTACCAAAGTCCAATGCTTTTCAATTGTGATTGATAAAACCACACATGTAAGAGATGTTGCACAAGTTGCTGATTTTTTTGTCATGGTTGTGATAACATGAGGATCAATGAAGAATTGTTGGAAAATAGCCCTCTTTACAGAACAACAATTGGGTGAAGATATTTTTAATGCTGTATGGAGTATTTTAGAAAACTATAAGCTTCCTTTTGACAAGCTTATTTCTATAACAACTAATGGCATTAAATCGTTTTAAAAGACAAATATTGAGAAGTAGAAACTCCCAAAATATATTCCTATTTAGATGAAAAATACCCAGAAATTAAAAAGTTAGCTGAACAAATTTTAAGATATTTTGGAAGTATGTACTTATGTGAGCAATTTATTTTCATGCATGAAATTAAATAAAATGATTTACAGATCAAGATTAACTGATAAACATCTATCTGCCATAATGAAGATTGTTTGTTCTCAGTCTTTGAATCCAGATATTGTTTCCAGTAAAAACAATTAACTTTAGTTTTATAAATATGTACATTAAATAAAATAAATGTTTAAATAAAAGCAATACTATAGCAATTATATTTTGTCGAGATGAATTCACTGAACTACATAATGTGTTTTAATTGTCCTATCTATGTTCCTGTATTCTTACTTCAAATTATAATTTTAAGAAAATTTGTAATTGTGATATGGCCCACATGAATCTTACCAGTCACATTAAATGGTCTGTTGTTTAGATGAGTTTGACACACCTGCACTAGATCATTATTCAATGTGAGGTGTAATTAACTTTCTTATGCAGATTCATACAAAATTGCATACATGCTTTTGTGAGTTTTACATCTTCTTATAGAGCTTGTCAATTTCGGTTATTATTGTTTCATATTGGTGTTTACAATAAGTTTTAAGGCTTGCTAAAAGTTTATATCATCAAATTTGAGCACAAAAAAGTTAATTGGACACTTCCCCATTCAGGTAATAAAAAAAACCCTAAGATTCATATAAGTGAATTTAATTATATTTTTTCATATGTAAAATTTATGATGTTTTACAGATTTACTTTGTGCTCCATCATGCCAATCAAAAAATCATAGGTTAGTATTAACCATCAAAACTTAGTCATTGATTTTCATTCAACCAGCCATTTCTACCATTGTATCAAAAAATTGACAGCAATTTCATATTGAATTATTTTCTCATTGTTAAAAACATAAATGACTGGTTTAGTCATCAATTTATCTGGACATGGACAAAAAAAAAAGACCACTAGCACCCATGGTTGAGTCATCATTCAGAAGGCAAGGAAAAATCTTTACTTATCTGCCCCACAGCTGGCAATTAAGCTGAAATAGAAGCTCAGCATCAAGGTAACTCCACAAACAATTATAATCACATTCACAAAGCTGCATTTGGGGGCACATAATGAGGAAGAGGCCTTTTTTGAACAAGAGTCATATGGCGAGTCAATTGGCATTTGCAAAAAAGTATGTCAACATATATGACACTTTCTGGGAGAAAGTTTTATGATCGGACTAATCCAAATTTAAACTATGCTCAGACAATACACAGAAAGTTTGGAGGAAGTCCAGGGAAAAGTTTCAGCTGTTAGTTTCATCAAATGTGGTGGTAATGTTAAGGTTTGGGGCTCCACAGTAGGCAAAGATGTTGGGAAATTTAAATTTATCAATGGCATTTTGAACATCCAACTGTACTGTTAGATCCTCAACAAAAATCTCTGTTTCTGTGACAAAAGTGGGTTTGGGAGACAATTTCATCTTTCAGCAAAATAATGTACCAAAGAATACTTTCCTGCAAAGGACATTTTTTTACTGCCTTGTAAACACAAAGTCTTTTCTCAAGCCATGCCCACTATGAAGCAGCTGAGCAAGTGAGGGATAGAGGTGTGACAAATCCAGAAAAATTCCTTTGTTTTTTTACCTGTGGGGTCACAGGTTTGAACCTGGGTACCCAGAGCAATAGGCTAACACCTTAATTGTGTCAGCCATACAGTCAGCAACACATAAAGTGGGTAGCATATGAATAGTTTTGGGGATATAAAAGCACTTCACTAAATATTAATTCTAGTTTCTCTGCTGAGCTAGCTGATAGGCTGAGATATTATTAATCTAAATATAGTCTTGTGAAGACTTGAGATTGAAATGGAGTACCTTGGTGTCATCTCATAAAGTAAAAATTTTGGCCTTGTCCCAGTTTCCATAGTAAAAACATTAGGAAAATTTAAAATTCATAATTTTTTTGTCCGATGGTTCTTTTTATTTTTTAATAATATTTGAAGACAAGTTCACCCATATAGGAATCACCATTTTTTGCGTAAGACAGTACATTTCCGGCAACCGACCTTCCTTTCTAGGCTACTAGCCACCAAAAAGTTTAAAAAAGTCCTTTTAAAAACACAAAAAAATATCCGATTAAAAACACAAAGATTTTCTAAAATCAGAACTGGTGTTATACAAACGTCTTTCTTGTTACCATCTGTACTTTCTCGGGGGTGTTTTGGCCTTTTATCCACTGAGAAGAGAGCGCTGGAAAATGTAGATTAAAAAGGTTCCCCTAGTGACGATATTTTACAGTCATAATTCGTAATTTTTTCGTCCGATGGTTCTTTTTATTTTTTAATAATATTTGAAGACAAAGGTCTAGTAGCCTAGTAAGGAAGTTCCTTAGTAAGGAAATAGTAGCCTAGATAGGAAGGTTGGTCGTCGGAAATGTACTGTCTTACGCAAAAAATGGTGATTCCTATATGGGTGAACTTGTCTTCAATTATTATTTAAAAAAAAAAAAAAATTTAAATAATAAATAATTGTATGTCATACATTGGAGTATTGCTAAAAGTATTCTGGCAACACTGTTTTAGATGTTAATTCTGGAGCATGCTGAGCACATGAGAAGAAACTTATTTCTTGTATATTTCACACTCCAACAACCTCAGCTACTATTGAAAGAATTTTTTCTTAAATTAAATTAAATTTTCTTAAATTTCTTGATTGTGTACTCCAAACATCTCAGAATAAAAACTAAAAATTCTAATGAATCTGTCAAAGGTTAATAGTAAACACAGAAAACTATCAAATTTGAATCTTAGATGCAATCTGAAATGTGCAGCATATTCCACTGAACACATCTAAAGTTACCAGTTAGTGTAGTTTCACAAAATCTTTACAACAGTTCTTTTTGTTTTGTTATTGCAAAGAAGCAGTGGTGTACCGTAGTGGGGGCAGCCCACCCCGGGCGGCACTTTTTAGGGGGTGGCAAAATTTTACAATAAATAATAATATTTTGTAAAAATTTGAAACATCCTAATCTATACTTGCATTGCGCCTACAATAGTGCTATCATCCGGACAGTCCACAGGAATCGGGACTCACCGGATGAACTAGTAACTTTTTCATCTGAGGAGTTCCTGCGAAACCTGTTGACCTTTTATTTTATTTTTTTTTTTTGCTTGTAAGATTGATTTGTGTTCATATACACCACTAATATCCAATAGAACTATTTTAGACAGGTCACTGTACTACCACCAAATTTTTCATTGCTTGTTCTGTGACAAAACTGAATTTTGGTTTTTTAAATTGAAATACAGTAATACCCCGACTTACACGAACCCGGAGTTACGCGATTTTCAAATCTCGTCGATTCGTCTTTTGTTTGAGCGCCACGCAACCCTTGATTACTCACTCCCCCCACACTATTGTTCAGCTTACATGTTCGGATGTGTTGCGCGGAATTCACACATAGCT